TAATATTTGACTTAAGGCTGAAATTTCCATGTGCCAGGTCTGGATCTCACAGGCCGATGCTGATTGGAGCAAGAGAAATTGAATCATTATGGTCCCATATCGTTCAGGGGGGAAAAAAATCATCTTTTTTTAACGCAGAGGAAAAAACCGTATTTTTCCTCTGGTAACTTTTATTTTGCACTTGAATTTCGGTTAGATTTCACAACCTTGGGGAGCTTTCACAATGAAACCATTTCAATGTTAAGTCCAAGGTTGTCCATCTCTAATGTGGTTGCCTGAGTGTGTGTATAGGCAGTGAGTACAAGCCCGCCTCCCACTGTGAAGGGTGCTTGTATGCCCTGTAGACCACATTGTACATGTTCATGTAGAGATCCCAACGTAAACCCCCAAATTAGACAATTTACAAAGTTGACAGATCGCCTGGGCTGGCACAGTGGAAATCAGTGGTGGGCCTATTGTACTTTTTCTGAGTAGGTCATTTTAATGGAGATGATAATAATTGAAGATAGCTGTATAACAGTGACAAGTTACAGAATACCTCACTTGTGTTGTCTTATGTAACATATTGGAATGATGTTTATTTCCCTCAATGAATACTTATTTATTGAGTATCTAACACATGGCAGGCACTGTACCAAGAGATAAAATGTTGAACAAAGACAGCTGCGTGCTTGCCCCCTAGAGCTTATGATCCAATGGTTTACTTGTAGAGACAAGTAAACAATTACAATACAGGATGGCACATGCTATGGTGGTGTAGAAATACTGAACGGGGGCACTTTACCCAAGAAGTGGCTTCTCCCTCATTATCCTAAACTTGGTTTTAGAAACAGAAGAGTAAAGCAGCTGCACAATATGTCACCTTAGCCACTCAAACAAATATATTTTTTGATGGACTAATGGTTCCTAATGATGATAGAGCAATCAGGCTGATATGATACAATTTATTGATCACTCATGGCATTCATGATGAGTAAGTACAGCATAAATTTACTTTTGATTATATGTACACGTGTGTGTGAACACACAGAGAGATGCACACAGAGAGACACAGAAAACATGCCTAAGCCATACTACTTCTGGCTTACCAGAACTGCATGGGCTTTGAGCTCTGTACAGGTTAGGTGTGAGCTATGCCTATACTCACTCACCTGCCTTTATACTAATAGCCTGCATTCTTGAGATGGCTGGACAAAGGGTCCAGTAAAAAGCAAGATACTAACTAGTCCCCACATCTATTTCCTCATTATGTGATAGTGAATGGAGTGTTGTAATTGAACTTTTAGACTATTTTTTAAAGTTTTCGGAGTAATTAAGCCCTTAAAAAACTTAATAATTTCTTTTAAGGTTATACTCAATATTCAAATTCTTCATGTAGATGTTCAAATTAACCATACCTGATAATTAGCTTTTCCTTACTTTGGATATTCGTGTGTGTGTGTGTGTGTGTGTGTGTGTGTATGAGATTTATGTCCTTTATTACTTATGGGGAATGAACTTACACGGTACCACAAATGTTAATGTCATTTTTTAAAGAAAACACTATATAGAACTTTAGTAAATCCTACTAAAAGACTAAAATTAAAGGTTCCTGGATGCAAGGCCTGTGTTTCAGAATCTGGATAATTAGTCAAATGTTCAATTTACAACTCTCTTCAAACCACTCCCAGCGTCGCCTAATAGCTTCCAAATTCCTTCTTGCCAAACTCTCTTCCTCTCAAAACATTGGATTTATATTCTGTGTTTTCTAAAGACAGATGCTGAAGTTGCGAATGCTAGCACTTGGAATGATAGAATTTCTCTGCATTTTGGAAATTTACCCTCCTATACTTTTGAGGACTGAAGACTAATGATCTCAAGGCACATGCATTGAAAATGCATAATCAGTTGATGTCAGTGAACAATTTAAATTTATATGGAGGTCAATATTATTTGTCCTATCAGTCCTCTCATGTTGATTTCAGGTAAATCCGCTTCTGTTCTATAGGATTCAAACTTGAGGTGACGACTCGATACCAAGGTGGAAATGTCCTGTCACAACACTTGGACTTGATTGAAGATTTACATCGAGAAAATAAAGTAATAATAATAAATTAATAATAATAACAGCAACAGCTAGAATATTTACTGAACTTAAGACCAACAGGCACTGTGCTTAGTGCTTTTCTTGCTTTATCTCATTTAAACCTCACAATACATGAGATAGTAATGATTTTTAACCCCAGAGATGTTAAGCCTCTTGCAGTTAAGTAGCTGATGGGGGATTTGAACTCTGGTCTTTCAGACACCTCACTCATTGCTTTTCACTACTTTGCACAGAGGTGTTAGTTGAAAGCATTGATTTACGATATTCTCTCAAAAGACTAGGACATCTTTTCTACTAACTTGTCTTTTCTGCAGTGGAGGGTAGTCTTAGTCTTTCACTCTTCCAACTTTCCCTTGATAGAACTCCAAAACCATGTAAAGGCTTCTGAATGTAACGATGGGTGACCCCTGCCCCTTTCCTATTAACACACTATCTTTTTCCAGTCCAAGGGTCACTACAAGGAAGACTTCAAGTGAGATGGGTTTATGCAAGAAATACAGGAAAATCAAATTTGTTTCCGAGCACTTCATAAGGTCACAGGCCTAACTATTGTGGCCTTACCCAAATGAGGTCCTTACCTCTACTGAGTTTTATCAGCCACATTAATTTTAAAAATAAATCTCACATGTTAAACTTGATATTTTCTCATTTCTGAAAATAATAGTGTTCCCAAGAGATCACCCGGGGCGAAGGAGAGTAAATCAGTCTTTGCCATACCAAAGACTTGAACAAAGTCTACTTGAATAGTTTTCATGTGGCAGACTGTCTAGGTCCCACTAATGAGACAAGTCATACAAGTTAAAAAAAAGGAAAGGAAAAGGAAAAAACCTTTTTTAAGACTATGAGAAAAGCATTACTTTATGCTATTTAGAGAAGCTTGGGAGTTTTTTCCCTTTGGTAAATGCCACAAAGGAGACATTTCTCATGAAAACTTAACTGAGAGACAGGCCATAGCATGGTGAGGAATGGCCTCTGGGAATAGAATGAGAGAGAGCTTGGAGCCAGGACCAGTAATTATGAGACACCAAGGAAAAAAGCAGAGGTTGCATAGACGTAAAATATTCCAAAAGCCATCATAGAAGTGGAATGAGAGGAAGAAAGAGAGTAAATGCTTTAAATAAATGTAGATCTCACCATACCAAACCCAACAGCATTCACATCTGGTGTAGCAGAAAGTATACTAGACTTGGACATACCCTCGAAAATACACTGAAAGTTGGGGTACATACTTAAAAGTGTGCCGGACAGAAAGAGCTGGAATTTGGATCCTGAACCTACACTTATAATGTAAATGACCCCGAGCAATTTACTACAGCTTTGAATTCATTAAATTTCAAAATGAAAGTCATAAAATAACATACGTGGAAGTGCCTAGCTTATATAGTAATTGTTGGAAATGTTTACGTTGAATCTATGTCATGTAACCAGTTCTTCACGAGAGGCAAGAGTGCCTACCTATTATGGCGAACAGAACTCGAAGCATGATGCTCAGACCTCAGGTTTCTCAAGATCAAAACAGCTCTGTCACAGAGCTAAAAATACCTTATGCAAATTCACTGAGTGCTAAAGAAACATAGCACTATGGCAGGCACTCTGTGCCAGGGTGAAAGGAAGTTAAGTGGCTAAAGTAGAGCATAGAAGAACAATCTTTTGGACACAACTTCTCTCAGTCAAGCTTAGGTTTCAGATGGATGTGGCTGAGTGATACCATGAACAGAACACAAGCTTTGGGCTCAGGTTTTCTTTCCAACCTTGACTTTGTTTGTGTTATGGGTGTGGCCTTCCCAAGCCTCAGATTCCCCATCCATAGAATGGGAACAAAAATACTTGCATGCAGCGCCATTTCAGGATTACAGATGATTTATGAAAAGTGCCTCACAGTAGACATCTGATATGCAGCAGCCATTGTCACATAAAGACCACAGCTCCTTCAGAACACACACTGAACCTCATGTATCCTCCTTTCTATTCTGCACAATGCCTGTCATATATGAGGCATAATAAATCTTCATCGAATGGATGGATAACCAAAAAGCTCATTCATTGCTCTTGCCTTCTGCACTAATTGCCATCAGATGGAGCTTTTTCCTGATTTAAGAGTTTTTTCCCCCTTTTTCTCCTAAAAAACCAACTGAGCACCACCTCTAACTTCAGAGCGTATCTCTAAGACAGAGAACTACAATAGACATAAATTGGCTGTCTGGGGTGCTTGCCGATGAATGGTACATTCACATCCCTCCTAGACATCGGTTATACCTCTGGTTTTGGACTCAGTCCTACAGTCATTTCCCAGCGCCATCGTGTCTGACAAGTCACTTTAGGAAAGTTAGTTACCTCTTTGAACTTAATTTCCTCATTCATAAATAATGACCTTAACGGTTGATGTGAAGATTAAATGAGACAGCATATGTATAGTGCCAGACATATAATAGGCAGGGAGAGATTTGAAACCGAGTATATGACACCAAAGCTCAGACTCCTTATATTACATTTAATTTCCAAAGGATTTTAAGCTCCTTGAAGAAAAGAGCCATATCTTATTCAGAACCAGTTTGCATATACCTTGGTGCCCAGCATATGCAGGGCAAAGAATAGTGTGTAATCTACTTGGGGATCTGAATTGCTTCCAACTGTTAGCCATACTGTAAGTGAATCAGGAACATTTCTCCAGGAAAATGTGGCCTTGGACACAAGGAACCATACTTAAATTCCCCAAACAAGGAATACCAAAGAAACTGTCTCTCCCTTTTAATACCATTAGACTGGTTGTTTGGAAAAAACCATAGGCATTATAGCTCTTCAATTTAATAAGGCTTTAGGCAAGTTAAACAGTTAAAATGCTTTTAGATGCAAGTAACAGAAAACCCAAATCAAACAGACTTCAGGAGTAAGCACATTGAATACATTGACTTACATGCTTGGAAGTGTGTATCAGAATTAGTTGATCCAGCAGTTCAATGAAGTGATCAAGGATCCAGGTTCTTTCTGTTTCTATTTTCTGGTAACAGTATTAGCTTTGCCATGGACGTAAGTTGTCCATCACTAAAAAAAGAAAAGAGAGAGCATGCCATTTCCAAGCACTGAACACAGTGCTTCTCCTCATAATGTTTCCACTCCTTAAATAGTAATTGTCACCAATGGAATGCTAGGCACTGAGAGCCTTAGGTTAGGGATTCTGGCAAAGGATATGGTATTATGACTGGAGTTAGGGTCCTCAAACCTTGCTTCTGCATAGGGGTGGGAGCAGAGTGGGGAAAGTGATAGGATTCAGTTACCATATCCCCATCAAAGATTATTATGTTCATGGAAAACAATGTAGAAGTTTGGTCTAGATAATATAGTTGGGTTGATTAGTAGCTGATTAAATAGTTACATGGTTAACAAACTAGAGACAGAGGTGACTTATCACATGGTCTAGGAATCTTCACGTCCTTTGCCAGGCCAGCCTCAATTGGGGTAGATAGTTCCTCTCTCCTGCTTTTATGTGAAAATGTATCTTTTCACACACATACAGTCTATTAATTACATATTTATATAACTATCTTCCAACCCAACCATGAGGCTGTTGAAAGCAGGAGCTATGTCTCAACCATCTTTCTAGCCTCAGCACATAGCATAGAACCTGACATACCATAAGGAGCTTCATTTTCAAATCTTAGTTAAGAAGCAAGCAATGAACCCCACGGTCTGGGAAAACATATTTGCCAAGGATGTATCTGATAAGAGGCTAATTTCCAAAATGTGCAGAGAACTCGTATTACTCAGCAAGAGGAAGACAGACAACCCAATTAAGAAATAGGCAAAGGACCTGAATAGACACTTCTCCAAAGAGGACATACAGATGGCCAAGAGACACATGAGAAAATGCTCAACATCACTAATCATCAGAGACATGCAAATTAAAACCACAATGAGGTGTCACTTCACACCTGTCAGAATGGCTGCCATCAACAAATCAACAAACGACATGTGCTGGCGAGGGTGTGGAGAAAAGGGAACCCTGGTACACTGCCGGTGGGAATGCAGACTGGTGCAGCCACTATGGAAAACAGTATGGAGGTTCCTCAAAGAATTAAAAATGGAGCTGCCGTTCGACCCAGTGATTCCACTCCTAGGAATGTATCCTAAGAATCCTGAAACATTAATCAGAAAGAATATGCCCCCCAATATTCATAGCAGCATAGTTTCCAATAGCTAAGATCTAGAAACAGCCCAAGTGCCTATCAGTAGATGATGAGTGGATAAAAAAAGCTGTGGGACATTCACACCATGGAATACTACGCAGCTGTAAAGAAGAAGGTTCTTGTACCCTTTGGGACAGTATGGATGGACCTGGAGAAAATTATGCTACGTGAAATAAGCCAGGCAGAGAAAGACAAACATCACATGATCTCGCTTATACATGGAATCGAAAGAACTTAATAAACTGATGAACAGAATAGATTCAATGACATGGAAGCATAGATGAGACTGACGAATGTCAGAGGGATGGAGGAGGGCGGGTGGGTGGAGGGGGAGAGAGTAACTAAAGAATTTATATGCACATATGCACAACACAAGGACATGGACAATGGTGGGGAGAAGGACTGGGGAGGGGAATGGGATGGGGTGGAACTGGTCATTTGGGAGAAAAAGGGACATCTGTAATATTTTAAACAAAAATAAAATTTAAAAAATAATAATTTTAAAAAGACAGGGAAGATAGTCAACAATGTTGTAATAACTGTATACGGTATCAGGTGGTTACTGGAAATATCAGGGGAGCACTTTGTAAAGTATATGATTATCTAACCAGTGTGCTGTACACCTGAAACTAATACAAAATAATATTGAATGTAAACCGTAATTGAAAAATAAAATAGAGTGAACTGTCAAAAAAAAAACAAAAAAAAACAGCAAGCAAGCAATGGATAGAAGTCTCAGGAAGGGAGATTTTAATTCCTCATATGTGTGAAAAGAAAACTTCCTAACAATAAATATATTAAATAAATGACTAACAGTCATCAATAAATTAAATATAAAGAATATGGGTGTTGGATTAAGATACCTTTAAGGTCCCTTTGATCCTGGAATTCACCGATTTTCTGAGTTTGCTGATGGTCATGATGCACACGCCACGATGGTGGCCCAGATGGCTTGAATATAGAAATCAGGACACTCTGGGTGGTGGGAAGGTGCTGGAGTCAACTGTTTGACTCATGAAAATTGGAACCTTCTTTCCAAGGCCATGATCTCAACAAAGGGAGCACATTCCATTCTCCATGCCAGCTGTGAAGGCCATCCTTGGTGATTGTGATCTGGTATGGACTTGGCATTCTCTGCTTACAGGCCAGACGCCAGGACAAGAAGCCTAATCGAAGGAAGCTCATGAGCCCATGCAACACCAGGAATGGGAAGGAATTTCTTAACAGCTTGAGCAATCTTTAGCTTAAGTGATTTTTGAGAGAGAAAATAAAAACAGAAGTCAACATAGCAGAAAGTCAGTGTTTACTGTGTACAGTGCAGGCCCTGTGGTCGGGAGATAATGAGTACATGGAGACAAGGCTCTGGCCTACAGGAAAGTTGAGAGTTTAGTTGGATATTTGCAAAATGCAGACATGTGCGCACACACACAGAACTTGAGAAATGTACAAAGCGCCATCTAAGACAAGGAGGTTACCAGACAATATAGAAATATTGTCTATTTCTATAGACAATATAGAAGTGTACTACTGGGAGTGTACTACCTATAGCATAATCTCCTACTCACCTTCCAAACCTGTTCTAACCTCTCAGTTTGCTTTCAACCCTGACACTCTCTCCACCCTATCAGAACTGACTTCCTTAATCTCTGATTCCCCTCAATATTCTCCAGGAATTTAGCTTGCTGTCTGTCGAAGTCTTATTTTTAACACTATTTTATTGGAGCAAAAGTCATACGTCACTCTTAATCCTCCCACTCAGATAGAACCCCTGTTAGCAAAATGGTGCATCTTCTCGTATTTTTTTTCTATATGTATTCTTTTCTTTCACAGATTTACAGGGTTTTCACATGCTGTTCCTAGAACACTACTTATTATGTAAGTGCATAGAAAACTATGTGGTATACAGAATTGTAACTGGTTTTCCTCTGGGGAAGGAAGGGGGTTGGAATTTTTATTTTATTCTGTGTACTTCTATGTTGCTGTTATTGCTTTGAACAACAAAGAAGTATTTAGGTAAATTAGTAAAATTTCTAAAAGGAGAAAATAAAGTCTACTTCCTGTGGAGTTACCAGCAAAAAGTACTTGTTCTTTCACTCTGACTCATGGCAGTAGTCCTCCTCCTTGGAGGTATGGCAAGAAATGAATGTATTCAATCTTGATCCTAAAATAGAGACTTGTCCCTGAGCTGTGAGTGGAAGCAACCTTCCATTGTTTTTCATTGTTCTTTTTGCACCCCAACAGTTTGCACTTGGGCAATGAATGAAACTATCTTGCACTTGCTGCTTCTGTCCAACAGGTGGCATTGTTGTTTTACAAATGGCTTCAAACCACAGCGCTAATGTTTTGTTTCTGTTTGAATCCCACCTATTGTTTATAGAATGGGGGAGCCATCGGGAGCACCAATATTCCTCTTTCAGAAGCCCTTTGTGTTTGAGAAAACATCCATGGCTGACGAGCCATTTCAATCACAGAAGTTAGTAAAAAATAAGAAATAGCTAACTTTCTCCTTTTATTCATCTCTGGATGAGCTGAGTTATTTGCTTCTCTCTTTATTTCTGTTAGTGTCTAGTTTAACCATAACCCATAGCTCTTGAAGTTACACATTAATTCACTAAAACACAAACGGCAACAATGGCATTTTACAGTGAGGGTTGCATACTTATTATGCAAAGCTTTCAGGAAGGAGCTACAAAAGAAAAATGAGAACCTATCTTTATTGGCCAAGATTTTGGCAATCTGATGAGTAGAATAAAATATATATAAGGCCCGCTGGGTGTGGCTCAGTGGTTGAGCATCGACCTAGGATCCAGGAGGCCGCAGTTCGATTGCCCGTTGGGGCATGTGCCCAGGTTGCAGGCTTGTTCCCTGGTCAGGGGTGTGCAGGAGGCAGCTGATCAGTGACTCTCTCATCATTGATGTTTCTGTCTCTCTCTCCCTCTCCCTTCCTCTCTCTGAAATCAATAGATATATTAAAATATATATTTCCTATTAGTAATAATCCAGGCAAGATGATTTATGTCAAAAATAAAATAGTTAAAAATAAAAACTAATATTTGGCTAGAATTTCCTGCTGGCTAGACACAGTTCTCAGCATTTCTTTGCTCCTCATAGCAATCCTGTGGAGTAGATACTGTTATCCTCATTTTATTGATGAGGAATCTGAGACCTAGAGGATTTAAGTAGCCAGGCAACTGCCTCCATTTATAAGAACAGCTGATAGTATGCCCTCTGCATGACTGATATTAGTTAATTTTCATGCTAATGATTTAAATTGAGTATTAACCATTATCCTTATGTTGCTTTCATTTCCTATAGGAGTTTAAATGCCTTTCTTAATGAAATGCAAATGTGTTTACTTCTTGACTCTTAGAAAATAAGCATAGAGATTTTTGCAAACATGGTTTTATTAATTTAACTTCAAACGTGACTAAGCTCCAGACACTAGTAATTTACTAAATGCCATGAAGTGTGCATAAAATATGTCATGCTGCATTTTAGTAGAAATTAAAAATATATATTTTAACTCTTTATTGCTTCCTCTCAAAAAACAAACAAACCCAAAACCATCACACACACTGTTTTTAGCTGTGGGAAGAGTGGCCAAATGACTAATTAGAATTACTGAAATTTTATCCATTTTGATTCACTAATATACTACAAAGCCTTTATATATAGACATATATATCTCAAGCTACTCCTTTTGTATCTTTCAAGAAACAACTAAAAACCACACAAATGTCAACAACCACTAACTTTTCTTTCAGTTAAAAAAAAATTTAAAAATATATATCCAGGGAACAGACAGGGAGTAGGGGTTGAAGGGAAACAGCAGAAAAACAAGGGAGATAATTTGGGCAT